GCCTTCCTTAAAATTCACATCTGCCCTGTGACCCAAGGGCACTTGTGGCAATGTGGTCGAGTGGTTAACGGGTCAAGTTCCCATTCTGCATTGTTACGGTTCGACTCCCGCTGGGGGTGTTGATAAGACCGAGGCGAGGTCGAAACTGCAGTCCACTTCAGACTGGATGAGAACAACTTTTGGGAGAGCAAGGCAATGTGAAATTGCAGCTATATCCATATTATTGTGGGTAAATTCTAGTACTAGTCCTTCATCACCTTATACGAAATAGGGTGAATACCTCTCATATTACTGATTTACTGGTAGTCTCGAAACTCTACAAAAAACACGAAAAAAAACTTGATTAAGTTCTAGTCTTTCTGGCCCAGTCGAGCGCCGAAAGCTCTTGATTCACAAGCGTTTTAACCTCCTATCCGACGACTGTGGCCAGTGTCGCTCTGTGATTAATAAAGAGGCCATACGAGATCTGGGTCATAGCGCTATGGGGACCCCTGATCACAAAGGTTTCTCGCTCTCGAGAGTCTCCTCGTCATGCAAAGACAAAGGTTAATGCAGGCGCCTTGTTCGATAGGTTGGCCTCTGACTGGGAGATTGTCTTAAATGGCCGCAATTATTGTGTCTGATCGGCCGACTCGGCTTTGCCTCAACTGTACCGAGGCACTATGGGGGGCAGTTTCACATGATACAAATTCACAATCCGGACTTAGCCCCTCAGGCGTGCGTGTTCGAGAAGCATGCACTTTCGTCGTGACGGAGATGTTCAAGACAGCAAGCTCGAGAAAGCGCAGAGTGGAACTGCTTCTACGCATTCAGCAGAGAAGCGGCAAAAGTGGTGATGCATAACTGGTTTAAAGACTTTTTTTCGGCTCCATACAATCCCTAGTTTGTTTGAGTAAAACACTTAATCACATATATACACAAATATCGACTAGGAAGATATATACCAAAATTGTGCGTTTTCTAGACACTTCTTGGGTCTGTGGTGCTCATTGAGGGATTCTTTTCTGT